ATTTTTTTGAATGGGGGGGGGGGTCCTTGTTTGGCTTGAACAGCCGAACGCATCCCTGAGGGGTCCCATACGCTTGGGCGTTCGGGTTCGGGTTCGGGCGTTCGGCCCGTCCTGAACGCTAGTTACCCTGACAATATCTATATATAGATATAAATAGAGATTATAGGTGATTCTAGATGATGATTATAGATATTGTATAACAATAATATATAGTATGCCAATAGTACTATAAATCAATCTCTATTTTATTTATTAATTGCTAGACTATTTTTAGAATAAATATAAATAAATGAGCTGTGTTACATATTTTATTATTATTTATTACTATTGTAATGAACTCAGTCTTGAGATACTCGCCAAATGTCAAAACACAGTAGATCTCAATTCTGAACAATGTCTCCCAATAATCGTGAAAGTGATCTGTAATACATTGTATGGTAACCAATAGACGACGAGAGGAGACGGGGAATAGACATGTTAGAGGGTCGAAGAGATATCCATCAATGACCACTGAGATAGCAGTCCGACAATGCTCACTCCTGTTTTGGGCTTCCCTCTCTCCTCCACGTCATGCAACAACGTCTAATAACGAGCCTGACAGGTCAGACCACATCAAGAGTGTCACGGGGCACAGTTCCCTCATGACATTGAAGATATTCTAAAACGCATAATATCAACGTCAAGAGCAGGTAAGTATTCTCTCTCTTCTCAATCATTCACAGACCCCAATCTCCCTCCTTGTCGCGTCCAACTCAGTAATGTAGGCAGCGTGGCATCCGCTACGTCAGTAATGAAGACAGAGTAACATGCGCCACATCAGCAAGTCGAAGACAGCGTGGCCCTGCGTCACATCAGCAGAGGCTGACGCCCAAAGCAAATGGCGTCAGAATGCAGCAGTGGTCTTGCGTCGCCGTCCATAGCGCCAGCTTGCAGCCAGTGCCAACCTAGCATCGAGCCAGCATCAAACCAACGTCAAGGCAACATAGCAAGACTGAATGTTGACTCCCTAGAGACCAAGTCTTACGTAGTGTTTGACAAGGCAGACTGACCTCAGGTCTCCCACCCACGGTAGCTCATATTGACTTACAATCGACGGTCTGGATTGTATACAGTTGCAGACTTCCACTTGTCCTAATGTTGTCTTGGTATCTGCATACAAACAAGTGAGTGTGTCTGACCGGCGGTCTAGGCTGGGTCCGTCTTGACTTTGACTGTAGGGCCTCAGGCAGTTGACCGAAGTCAATTGTCGGGTACTCATCCCTTGGGCTATTTTTGAAGGGGTCTCCCTTCTACCTCACGACCAGATACCGGTGTCGCGGCCAATGGCCCCTTAGCCATTCAAGGAGGCATAGTCAACGGGTTATTGCATTCCTGCCGGCCCAATTTTTTTAGTTTCACTGCAAAAAACATATTAATTTTCTCTTAACTTTCATTCATATGCAGCAACAATATCAGGAGCGGTAGGTAACAGTTCTTTCTTACTGAACCATCTAGCTTCGGACGCAGTTTGAGACTTGAACTGTACATTGTACTACTTTTGCGGTCTTCCCCTGCCACCTGTAGAGAAGTAACCATGTTCCTAAATTTTTTCAACTTCATATCCTCCATCCATGGATCCATGGAGGGTGAGAACATAGATGGCCTGTTAGGAAAATCATCTCCCTCTACATACGGTAGAAGTTTAGATGCGTGGGAGACAGGATAGGTCCTTAGTTGTGGGGGTACATCTATCCGGTAAGAAGGTCCATCTGCATCCCCAATCACCTTGAGAACTTCTCAGGGTCGATAGTAGATAGGCAACAATTTTTAAGACACATTTTCTTCTAGGGCAAACTCTCTAGACTTAATCTAGACAAGATCTCCTTCTTCAAACTGTGAAGGCCTGCGATGTTTATTGGTTTGCTCAATCATCTGTAACTGGATTTTTGTATGTTTTCCTTAACCTTTCTGATGTATTTTTCACACAAAACTGCAAATTCACGAGTTCTTGGGGGTAGCCTTTGAATCTTGTCCTTGGTTAATGCATCAATGAGACGTTTAGACTTCCAACCTGTATGTAGTGCACTAGGCGCTCTTCCTGTAACAGTATATACACTATCATAATAGGCACTAACAATTTTAGGTCAGTTTTCATCCCAATCTATTTGATCGGGTCGGACATAAATGCGCAAAAGTTGTTGGCACAGACGGTTCATGTGTTCAGTTTGGCCATTCGTTTCAGAATGCCTACCTGACGATATGGTCAACCTGGTGCGATACACTTCCATCGACTTTTGTCATTGCATTCCTGTCAACCTTACATCCCTATTAGATACAATGGTCTTTGGAAAACCATATCCTGATACCCATCGCATCTGAAAATTTTGGATGACAAGTTCAGTCTTAGCTTCGGCTGGCAAAGGAATAAACATAGCGTATTTTGAGAATCTATCTACAATGACCATTACCTGACTGTTGTCATTTCGGCTCTTAGTAAGACTCATGAAGTCTAAGGAGATAGACTTTCCTGACTCACTTGGAATAGGTACTGGTCTCAGTAGCCCCAAGGGATTCTCATGTGAGAGTTTGTTTGTCTGATAGATAAGACAAGTCCGCACATAGGTTAATACATCCTCTTTCATTCCTTTCCATTCAAAGTGTTCTGTAACATCGGCATACGCCTTCGTGAAACCAAAGTGTCTCTCAACATCATAACATTCCCCAACAATTAGACTTTTAATATGTTTTTGGTGAGGAATACACAGTCTTTCTTTGGGTTTATCCACAAAGAAGAGTAGGTCATCAGTCATTTGATATTCAGGAAATAGTTCATGATTTTTCTGTAGGGTCCCTATGATAGGACTCCAAATATGATCGTTTACATAACCTTTTCTTATTTGCTTTTTAAGTTAATTCCCGATATCGAAGTAGGAGACAATGGTACCAAAGAAGTTTGCACACCTGGACAAAGCATCCGCAACAACATTATCTTTGATTGTTTTCAACTCAAAATCAAATCTATCAATAAAAGTGGACTAACTTCTTAGAGAGTCTCGGTTGAGTCTTTATCCATTTCAGAGTAGAGTGATCTGAATAGACAATGAAGTGTCTTCGTAACAAGTAGTGTTTCCAACTCATTCCGAGTGTCTAGTGCAGCAACCAAAACATATAATTCTCTTTCGTAAGTGGAGTTAGTAAATTTCTCTGACGAAAGTTGGACATAAACTCAATAGGTCTATATCCTTTACCGTCGTCCTGATGTAGCACAACCCCAATCCCATATTGATTTGTATCAGTCGTGACAATGAAAGGGAGATAAGGATCAACAATCTTTAAGATAGGGTAGTGAGTTATAACATACTTCAATCGTTTGAATGAAAACTCAAAATCTTTGTCTCAAAACCAAGGTTTTTATTTCTTCAACAGTCTTCTCATAGGTGCAACTGTTATGAAGAAGTTTCTTACAAACTTCCTATAGTAACTGGCAAGTCCCAGAAAACGACATGAGTTCAGTGACAGTCTTAGGTTGGGGTCAATCTCTAATTGTTGTTATTTTATTTTCTTCGGGCCTTAGTCCCTCTTCGTTCACTATATGCCCTAAGTCTAGCATTTCAGGCTTAGCGAAACCAGACTTCTTAGGATTCAGTTTGAAGTTGTCTTCGCGCAACTTCTGAAGAACCATTCGTAGATGTTTCTCGTGATCCTCAAGTGTTTTGTTGTACACGAGGATATCATCAAGATAGACGATTACGAACTGGTCCAACCATTGACGGAACAACTCATTCATGGATCTTTGAAAGGTTGCAGGGGCGTTAGTCAATCCGAAGGACATCACCACAAACTCATAGTAACCATACATGGCTCGGAAGACTGTCTTGTGTTGATCTTCAGGAGCCACCTCGATCTGGTGGTACTCTGACTTGAGATCAATCTTACTAAAGTATCTGCATCCCTGTAATTGGTCCAACAAGTTGTCAATGCGCGGAAGCGGTTCCGCGTTCTTGACAGTGACGACATTCAACCTACAATAGTCAATACATAGTCTAAGTTCACCTTCTTTTTTTGGCATGAATAAGACAGGAGCACCATAAAGAAATGAGCTGGGTCGAATTCATCCTTGCTCAGTGAGTTATTGCAGTTGTTTCCTAAGTTTTTACTATCGGGAATAATCTCAATGGTGTGGTTGATAACACGCTCGGTGATTCCCGTAGGTTCAGTCTGCAAATCCTTATACTCATCGAGTAATTTTTCAATAGAAGAATGATAGGATGAGGAACATTCACCTGCTTGCTTAACAAGCACTATCATCACATCCTGATTCAACTTCTGCTTTGAGACCATAGACCTAAGGTTGGATAACTCATGCACCAGAAGGACAATGATGAGTTAGATCCAAACTTATGATACAATTTTATTTCGCGAAATTCATACTTTTTGTTCTTCAGTTTGACAATTTTTTTCTTTGAACCTGACTTATGGGTCGGCTTCCTCATGCCAGTCGTGTAAGTTTTTTTTTCCTTCCTTAGTCCTGAAATAACACTTCACACGATCGATGTATTAATAGACAGTGATTGTGCTCATGTCAGCCAACATAGACGTGATAGGTATAGGTAAATCTTTTACCTTCATTCCCAGATGCACTTTACGAATTGTTTTCTCTGAGATGTAAGACTGCGTCGATCCTGGATCTAACAATGCACCTACTCGCGTACGTGCAATCTCAATATCCGCGATCATCAGTTCAACCTTAGTCTTAGTTTTCCTAGCCCATGAATTTCTAAGAGCTATGAGTTCATTACCGTGTTCGTCAAGGGAATCGTCCAATAGTATTAGGGTGTTCTGGACGACGAGTCAAAGAAGAGACATCCTCTGCCATATGAGTCGAGAGGCTGAAAGGGGTTATTGGTACCTTACCTTCATCTGAACTCATCAACTCAGTATCAGTGGATGTTACTCCTACTGGCTGCTCGCTTTTGGGTTACGGATCAACGGGCACCATGATATCACCTGCCCCACAGTGTCACACTTAATGCACTGGCGGTAGTTCATCTTGGACTGTCATTCCTCTTGTGTCATACCCATTTTTCCTAGGGCTTCCCGAATGTGATGCCGGGGTGCTTGGGAAACGAGCGTGGTCTCCTCTTCTTCTTCCACTGATTGGTGTCACCCTTGTTGGCTACCACGGCAGCGATGTCACCCTTTCCCGACTCGCTGCCGCCATTACCTCCTCCCTCGAACTCGTCGAGAAGTAACTTCCTCATGGTATCATCGTTGAAAACAACAAGCATGCGATCTTGACGTTTTTACCGTCAAAGGACACGCTTGCCGTACCCACCTACCGGCTCATTCTTGACTACAGAAGCATAAGTTCCCTTTACCTGCACGGTCATCTGCTCTCGTTGGAGCGCGGGATCGCGAAATTGCCGATAACTGTACTTACGAGACTTCGACTCAGCCACGAACTGTCCGCGAATCGGGTCAGGCAATGCGCGTGAGTAGATGTACAAGAGCTGGTTGCCCTGTAAGTTCAATCCAGGTACCTGCAGAAGACGATCCACTTCACGGGACAAAACATCCACAAAAGTTCAACGCTTTTGGCCTATTGTGGTGGGCTCGTCAAAGGCCTTATCGACCGTCGTCTTATCAAGAAATCTCTCATTTATTTTCTGGAGAAACTGCTTGAGTTTCAAGGTCTTAGCTCACTCACCAATATCTTTGAAGCCAACAGCGTTAGCTTCGAGCAGGACCAACTCCTTGGCCACTTCCCGCAACCAAGACATGGAGAAGGTCACCTGACTCTCAGGCTCAACAAGCGCGGTCCCACAATAAGTCGGGATTTCCGCTAGCCATAACAACAAATTTTCTCTTTTTTTGTTGTTATAGGTGAAAGGCAATTTTATCTTCACGTTTTCTTTCCTCCTTGGCTTCTCCACTTTATTAGCCGATTCTTCTTTCTTGGCGGGTTCTTCCTTCTTTTATGTCGGCTTCTCGGGTTCCTTCTTGGAACCTTCGGGTTTGTCTGGCGTCACGTTTGTGCTCTTTATTGCATTTTTCACAAGTTTCTCCTAGGGTTCTTTCCTTTCTTCCCCCTTGGTCACCTTCTCATACACCACCTTGTCTTTCCCTTTTATCATTCTAGACATATTCTCAAGTATGGTGGTGTTACTATCAATTTTCAATTCGAGGTGAGCGAGGTAGGCCATCAGATTGTTGAGATTAGATGTAAGGTTCATTTTTGTTCCTTCAATGTGAAATTGTTATCTGATCTCATTCACCTTTCTATCTTGCTGTTCTTTTTTCATCCTCATTCTCCTATATTCTTTCATCTTCCTCCTCTCTTCACTCAACGTGTTTTCCAACTGCCGGATGTTGATCATTATAATCTTTGAAGACAACCCTGTTTTTTTTCTTTATTCTTCCTTCTTTTCTTCTTCTTCTTTCGGCACGTTACCAGCAATCTGAGCCAGCTTCTCGACAACATATTGATCGATGGTCATTCGCCCCCGATCAATAGTTTGTTGCACTCTACCGTTTACTTCCAACATCTGAACAACCGTTTAGTTCGGTTTTTGCAGTACGCAAATCGAACTGGCTGCGTGCGTGCTATTCGGCCATTGGACCAATAACATGCAACTCAGCCCTCAGTTGGTTGAAACGAACCAGCATCTGCTACCGTCTGTTCTCAATTTGACCACGGGTCTTCAATTCGACACTTTCTTCATCAGCGAAGAAAGTGAAGGAGATAGAGAAGAAGAAAAGTGGAATCAACCGAGTCAAGACAGAAAGACACAAAAAATTCCAGAAGATAGACATTTTCAAAAGGTGTGTCTGCCGCACAATAAACTTATAAGAAAATAAATTGCACGACCTCACTTAATTGTAATCTCCTACAACAAGAAATAAATAATGAAAAATAAAGAAGAAATAAATCTAAATTATTTTATTATTTTCTAATCTATTGTCTATCCTACGTGTTATGACGTCCTACAGACAGTGCACAGGTACCGCAACCACGGCCAATATGATTAAGACACAACAACACAGGTGAGTATGCAAGACAACCACATAACAACCAAGACAAGTAAGTTCGTCAGCCAACACAATCAACAACAATCAATTGTCAACCTTCTTTCCTTTATGGTTGTACCATCTGCAGAGTCAACGACTCAATGCAGCTAGACACAAGGGCTGATGTGGGACACTACAACAATCGTGAAGTTGTACCGCCCACCAACACACAAGTGCAAGTGTCAACACCTCACCCACACCAGCGTTCCAACATGCCACGTGTCACCCATTAAATGCCAACACAACAGCTCTACAGAGTCTATCACGTCAGTGTCAATCACCTGGAAGGTCTTCGAGAGGGATGTCACATCAACAATGCACGATCTGCCAACACATCCAACACTGGTATGTCATGTAAGATCAAAGTATGGAGCGCTTCGTCAACAGTCAATCGTGACACAGGTACGTGCCACGTCAGATAGTGCCCTGCCAATAGTTGGATGCCATGTCAGCACCCTTGCGCCATGCCACGTAGACAGCGCACCACATCAGCAGTCCCAATATCCTCTCTCTCTCTCTCTCTCTCTCTCTCTCTCTCTCTCTCTCTCTCTCTCTCTCTCTCTCTCTCTCTTGCGTCTACCAGCGCCACATCGACCGGTTGCCAACGATGCTCTCGCCGGTATCTCAATGCCATGTCAGCAACAAAGCGCCACATAAGCAATGTCGTCGTTTTCTTCTTTAGAGTGTCCACGCCATCATCTTTAAGGGAGGCTGCATGCACGTGCTGTACTCAATATCTAGACGTGCGATATTAATCGTGCGCGTTTAAAAACGCATTTCGTCCCTGACACGTGCGACACCTCCCACTTACCTGGGCGCCAGGTCGACGCCTGACAGCAGATCGCGACGAAGAAGGCATGCTCCGATACCAAATTGTAATGAACCCAGTCTAGAGACTGGAGACACTCGCCACATGTCAAAACACAGTAGATCTCAGTTATGAACAATGTCTCTCGATAATTGTGAAAGTGATCTTTGATACATTGTCTGGTAACCAACAGACGACGAGAGGAGAGGGGGAATAGACAGATTAGAGGGTGGAAGAGATATCCATCAATGACCACTAAGATAGCAGCGCGACAATGCCCACTCCTGCTTTGGGCTTCCCTCTCTCCTCCACGTTATGCAACATCGTCTAATAACGAGCTTGACAGGTCAGATCACGTCAAGAGTGCCAAGTGGCACAGTTCCCTCATGGAAACATTGAATACATTTTGAAGCGAACAGTATCGACGTCAACAACAGGTAAATATTCTCTCTCTTCTCAATCATCCACAAACCCCGATCTCCCTCCTTGACGTGTCCAACTCAGTAATGTAGGCAACGTGGCATCTGCCACGTTAGTAATGAAGACAGAGTGGCATGCGCCATATCAGCAGAGGCTGGCACCCAAAGCAGATGGCGCTAGGAGGCAGCAGTAGTCTCGCGTCGTCGTCCACAGCGCCAACGTGCAGCCAACGTGGAGCCAGCGTCAAGGCAGCATAGCAAGACTGAATGCTGACTCCCTGGAGACCAAGTCTTATGCAGTGTTTGACGAGGCAGACTGGCCTTAGGTCTCCCAACCACGGTGGCTCAAATGGACTCACATCCGAGGGTCTGGATTGTATACAGTTGCAGACTTCCACTTGGCCGTGATGCTATCTTGGTACCTACATACAAACAAGTGAGTGTGTCTGACCGGCGGCTTGGGTTGGGTCTGTCTTGACTGTAGGGCCTCAGTCAGTTGACCGAAGTCAACTATCGGACACTCAGGCCCTAGGCTATTTCCGAAAGGGTCTTTGTCCCTTCTACCTCATGGCCAGATATCGAGGTCGTGGTCTGTGGCCCCTTAGCCATTCAACGAGACATAATCAACGGGTTATTGCACTATGAATATTCTATTCATTATTAATTTATTAATTACACACATATTGTATATATATCTAGGTTACGTGAGCGGACGTCCGGGACCCCGGGAACGGTCCTTGTCCGACCGGACCACCAGGCCGGTGGTCCGCTGTCCGACGAAGGTCCGACCCCTGCCGAAAATAGGGGCCAGGCCTCGAAGGGGCATCTGGGGGGTTGGAGGGTCAGGCCATGTAGTAAGAGGCCCTGCTGAACCTCGGTCCCCACAGGCCGAGGCCAGCAGGGCCAAAAAAAATAGAAACAGAAAAGGCCCGACGTGGGCCGTCCGATCGATCCGATCGATGACCCAGATCGGGTCTGAATTGCGCCGACGAGCGCGTGTGTGTGCTCACGTGGACGCGGCACCCCAGCCCCGCCATCATCGACGCCATCTCCAGGTACGTGTCCACTTCGTCAGCCTTCCTCCTCCTCTTCTCCCGTCATCTCCTCGTC